GGCCTTCACTATCGGTCGTCATCGCTTCTCAGGCCACAGTTCAACACACCTGAGACCAACATTCTTTTTCCCCAAACGTCTTTTCTTTCCGCTGAGCTCGTTACTGACAGCGCCTGGCCCGCAGAGCCCTGCATCCGAGAGCCGAGCCGGCCCGGACGCGGCGGTTCCTCCCCCCGCCCACTGCCCCGCCCCCGGCAGCCCCTGTGGTCGCCGACGCCGCCCGAGCGTGTCCCCTTTTCCTGCACGCACTTCCGCACCGCAGGCCGAGTACCGCACGCTCTCCCGCTCGTCTCCGGGCCCCACCGGTGCCCGTCTTTGGCACCCTCCCGCCGAGAGGGGTTTCTAAAGAGCAACAATTCAGACCCTGTCACCCCCTTGCTCAACAACCACCAGCTGACGCAGGGATAAAGGCCACACTCTGAGGCTCCCAGTGCCACCTCTCTCCACCCTCCTCCCGGGGGTCACGCTTATCGAACACCTTGCCATCCCCAGGACATGCCAGGCTCCCTCTTCTGGGCCTTGGCGCATGCGGTTCCCTCCGCGCAGCCCCCTTTCCCGGCCGTCCTCGCTGGACTCACTGCCCCGTTCTTCCCATCTCAAGGGAAGCACCATCGTTTCTGATCCTACCGGGTGGGATTGCGTACCACTGTTCTGTGCACTCCTGAAATTCTCTACAACAGTCACCTCCCATCCTACTTCCCTGCAATGACCTTCTGACCTATGGTGCCTTCTTTCCGGACTCCCGGGCAGGGGAGGCGGCTCACCAAGCACAGCCTCAGAACAGAGCCCTGCTCTCCCGTGTTACAGGGTGAGACCCCGGGGCAATGAACTTGTTTCTGAGCCACGAAGCTGACAGGAGGGTGAAGCAGGTCCCTGTGGGCAACGTGCTGGAAATAGTGCCTGGCCGCGGAAGCACCAAATCAGGACTCACTGTCACTGTTCTCGTTAGCATTCTCTGTGCCCAGTCCCATGCCGGCACCGAAGGTACACTCAGTAAACAAACAGTTACTTTATTGAGCAAAGTATTTTAAAGAAATACTTCTGTAAAAGGACGCATTCCCCCAAAAGTGGTCCATTTTCATGCGAGGCTTACCACCTGCATTCAGAGAAGAAGGAAAAGGCCGTGTAGAAACTCTGCTTTCAAGTCACTGGAATGCTAAGTGCAGTCGCCCACAACGCAGCCACGCGCTGTGGCGCTGGCGCGGATACTCCCACGGCTTTGTATGAAAACGACCTCACCCCTGAACTGTAATTTCCTAAATGGTAACTCAGATGCTGGTAACGGTGTGAGCCCCGCACTGAACTAACGACACACAGAACTTCATGCTTAATGCGTCCTGGAAATACCGGCGGGCTATCCTCTGGCAGGGCATTTTCAAGTCCTGATGTTCCAATTCAAAATTACCAAAAATTTCAAGACTAGATGGCTTCTAAGAACTTCTCCAGAACCAGGGGGAGAGCATGAGGGGCCCTCTGTCATCTTTGTTCCTGTCGCAACCAAACACTCCTTGCCGCCGAATGTCTTCACCTGGAGCGTGCCTCACTGCCCCCCAAAGACCTGGGCGTGCTGGAAATGTTACAAATTAATTACATTAATTACTTCTTGAAAGAGAAAAATGGGGCAGAAGAGAGTAAGGAGAGGGACTGAGAGAAGGAGGGGTGTGGAAGGAGGGCCTGACTTCCCAGAGGAGCCCCGGGGCCCCGGGGTGGGAGGGCCACGCCTGTCGCATGGGCCCTGCCCCCACCAGCCTAGGACTGTCCCCTGGGAACGTCCCGCCTTCTCTGTTGACACACAGGTGGCATGGACTCTTTCCCGTTAGGCTCATTTTCCACCAGATCTGGCAGACGGAAGAGACCAGCCAGCATTCACCCTCCAGATGTCGGGGGGGCCTCTGGAGATCCAGGGAGGGAGGCAGAGAGTAACACAGGAGGGGTCCCTGGAAGCCGCCCACTCTGTTCTCTGGCCTCTTGGTGCTCTGATCTCATCCTGCGGATCATCTCTCTCCCTCACCGCGTCTCTGTTCTATCCATAAAGCCTGGAGGATTAGGAGCAACTGACTCAGAACAACAAGTCCTCTATTCACGCAGCTCGTTTCTTCCAAGGAAACCAGATGACCTGCTAAGTCTCTCACTCGTCTGCAGCCTTTGTGTGAGGGCTGCTGGGCTAACCTACAGGGACTCTCTAGTTCGCGGAACAGAAGCAGGCGCGGGAGGCCTCGGGGGCTCCTGCAAGGGTCAGACGCGAGAGCGTGTCATAAGCGGGACTTGACAATGGACTTGACTACGGTCAGACGAGAGGACTCGTCACAAGCAGGACTGGAGCGTCTACTGAACACGTACCAATCCATGTGGTGCAGTGATTATCCCTAAAGAGCAGTACTGACTCCAAGACTAACTCTTTAGGTTCCTAGAAAGCCTCTAGGAAACGCATTAATACCGACAGCGTTTGAAAGGATTTACTGAAATGAGGAGCATGAACGGAAAGCATCGCCTGGGATTTGCAGGCAGGGCCTTTACAGGAAGCGTTGAATCGGGGCGTCCGCTCTGCCACGGCTGTCCGGTCTCTGATTTCCACTGGCGGTTTTTCCAGAAAGATCTCAAATGCTGTCTCTTCATTTGACTATATAAATATATAAATATATGGGTGTTGGGTGTTTTTTTTTTGTTTTTGTTTTTTTTTTTTTGGCAAGGAGTCAGATCTTGTTTCTCTTTCCAGGAACGGCGCGCTGCCCCTCGGGACCAGGAGGGAGCAGGCTTTAGATGGGGTTAGGGTGCGTTAGGACCGACTCGCTACTCAGCATGCTGATCTTTCCACTTTTGTCTCACTTGTTTTTGTTTGTTTTTTTTTTTTTGCTTTTAGACATAGCTATCATCTCTCCAGCCTAAAAGCAGACTCTTCAAATTATATGTGCTGATGTTCCCTCGATCAGAGGAGATAAGAACACTGCTACGGCAGTTCTGTCTGCCATGTCTGGTGTTTTAATTGGTGCTTCTGAAAGGTCATGGTGGTGGAACGCCAGCGGCAAAGAAATTTCCGTGGGTTGAGACCAAGACTATGTCCCGACAGGTCCCACTCCCCACGTTATGCCCAGTTGGCATTCAGTGTCCTCGTGGGTGAGAGGAACGAGAGCAACCATAACTCCTGCGTCTCCCCCAGCAGCCTTTCTCCGGACGCACAGTGGGCCACGTACGGCCAGCGGCAGCCGCTCTCGGCTGACCAGCAGGCCCAGTGGGGACCGGCTCTGTGCCCCTGCAAAAACATACCACTGCTCCTGCCACTGCCAGAGGCAGGGTCATTAGAAGCCACCCTCTTTTGACTTTTACAGTGAGACCCTCCCTGCTCCCTGGCACGCGGTTGGTCCCTGGGGCCTCTCACTGTACCGGGTGATACTTAACCAGAGTAGTCGGCACAGGAAACTGGCCACACTCCTTCCCGCGCTAGACAGTGCGTGACTTCTCTCTCTCCCCACACCGTGGCTTTAAAAATTCTGCCTGGTACTTGAAAGGCACGTTCTACTTAAAAACTTCTCTTATAGTTACAGTAATTAGTCTTTGAAACTTCCCCAGTGAGATTGGCACCGTTCTCTTCCATTCTAAAGAAACTGAGGTTCAGAAAGAAATACCAGTATCACAATGTCAAATATACTTAATGGCAGAGGCGGGAATTGAACCCATCCTAGCACACTTCGCATCTGATAATGAGCCCTTACCCCCATAAGCAGTGACATTATTTACAATAACCTCATAAATCCTTTAAGGGTCATAAAAAAAGTTTTGCATTGATTATATGAGATAACGGGAATTTATATATCATTAAGGAAAACAGGACATAGAAGAAAAATGAGATATGTTTATCAAGGCCAAAAAGAACTCAGAGAACAAATGTTTGTGGGCAAGGCCAGGGTTCCAGAGTCAGATGTGGAAACGGGGCAGGCGCAGAAGGAAGAGTAAGGGGCATATGACAAGTGACCCAAGGACAGACTCAAACAACTGAAAAATCAGCATCCACCTGGAGCTAAACCAGGGAAGGCATACACAGTAACGCTGGGGTGATGTCAATTATCATGGCGTTTCGCCCAAGAATATGAGAGCTTTGGGTTCCTGTTCCCTAAAACACATAGAGAGAAAACCAGGAGGAGGAGAGAAGGAATAATGAGAAAAATTTACAGAACTGATTAAAAAATGGTAAAAAAAAAAAAAGTTGGGGGGAAAAAAGCCTTTAAAATATAAAAATTATTAACCAAAAGAGGAAGTTGTTTGTTAAGTGAATCTCACGGCAGAAAACAGCATGTGAAGAGGCCAGTGTGGAAGGAGGGGGCGTCACGCAGCTGACCCACCAAGGGCTGCTCCCAAGTCTTTCTCCCATCTGCTCACGAGCCCGGGCTGAGTCACTGTGCTCCGCGTACGCGTGCCCGGAGAACTCTCCCTCCATCACGTTGGAGGTCCAACCGCACCCCGCACATCTGCCTGAGTGGTGATGAGGGTTCTCACTGCCTGCGCGCGACTGAATAGCAGGCAAAACCTCACCCTGAGACAAGCTGGGGGAAAGGAGATATGCCAGGGGACCTGGTCTCGGTGCCGGGTCTCAAACTGGCCTCAAAAGCCAGAACGCCTGCTGAGTCAGTGAGGCAGTGAGAATGAAGGATGGAAGGGAGGGAGGAGGAGAAAACTAAAAACCATTTAATGTCTGGCTGTTAATCTTTAATTTACAGCCTTAGGGATCTAAGAAAGTTCTAGAAAGAGGTTGTCAGTGACAAAGATCATAAAATTTCAAGCAACAATAATGACTAATTCACATTCATTAGTGATTTTTGGCAAATAAGGTGGCATATTTATATTCCACGGGGAATATTCTCGAAATGGCAGAAGGCATGTAACATGCATACGTAATTCAATATAATTGCATGCTCTATTTTTAAAAATATTTAAAACTGTTACACCATTTGATAAGGAGCGCACCTTTTACATTTTAAAGTGAAGAAAAGAGCCCATCGACTTGCCTTGCTGAATAGAATGGAGATCATGAAGAAGTCCAGCAGGAAACTCTCTGAAAGATCTTTGTAGTCAAAGTGGAAGAAGATCACAGTGAAGCCCAGGTGCACAAACTGGTGGGCGGGGCTGCGGAAGGAGCTGCGCAGCAGCTTCATGCCGGCCACGATCATCAGGAAGATGTCCCAGCTGTCGGGAAGGGAAGGAAGAAAAGCCATCAACGATGGTGCGCCAACTGCCAGGCGAGTGACAACAGCTGATGTTTCTTCAGCGTTCACTGTGCGTTCTGTACGTCGTAAACACAAAACACCAAATCTGGGGGCCCTGTGATTGCCTTCCCTTGACAGAGTGGTAAACTGAGTCTCAGAGCTGGAGTCATTTGTCTAAGTGCTCAGGGGGTGGGGCTGGGATTAGAACTCAGCCCGAGGGACTCTCTCACAGAGACACTGCCCCTAGAGGAGGCCCCTGTCCCACCACACACTTCTGACCGCCCCCTGTCCTTCGAAAGGACATAGAACGCCTTGGACCTTATCTGACGGCAGGGACAGGCTCCACAGAAAGCTTGAAAGCAAGTGAGAAATCGGAGCACTCTGTCCCTGTTCGGTCTGCCCAATGGATGCCTTTTATTATAAAAGAATCTTTCTGAAACAGCGACATAATAATACTCAATATTAAATTCTGAAAAGAGGAAAAAAACCACTGTCTTAATCAAGCCATTTTTACTCTTGCATATTAACCTCCAGGGTTTCTCAGCCTATTTGTTACCCCAATGCACATAAGCTCCTTGGTCTTCCTTTCTTTCTGCTGAAAATTATGTCATCGACAGTTTCCCCCCAGGGCCTTTTCTGCTACGGAGCTGACCAAGGCGGTCGGCAAAGCCGACCAGGATGCCGCTTTGAGGACTCACGTCCTGAACGGCCTGGTCCAGGGAGTCGGGTCAGTAACCCATGTAGGGAGGAGCGTGTGCTGTGTATGCGATTCCACGTGGTCACGAGGTCAACGGGGAACAGCCCACGGACCGTGAGGCCGGACAGTCTGTGGCAGCAGCTCAGGACGGCCTAACAGAGCAGCCCCCTGCTTGAGGGTCTGTCCTTCTGCAGGAGGCTTTGCCCATTTTAACCAGACCCCCTCCCCCATTATAACAGCCTCTTTGGAAACTCCAAAGAAAGACAGAGGTGGGAACAGTGTTCAGAGAATGGTGGCACTGGTGAGCAAGAGAGGGGCTCTTTTTCTCGCTAAATACATAGAACTGGGACCGCCCCTCAGGTTCCCTGAGCCTAGAGGGACCCTGGGCTCTGGCTGTAATGTCCCAGAAGGAGGTCATTTAAAAAGTGCTTTCAAAGTCTTCGCACCTATCAGGTGCAAAACTGTCATATTGTCTTCCAAAAGATCTAATGTTGGCAATTCCACTTGACATTTTCTACGCCTTCAGGCCCAGGGCTGTGATTGTTCCTACGCTTCCCCTGATGCCCCCAGGGAGGTCCACGCGAGGTCCCGCTGAGGAACACAGCCCTGGACCGCATGCAGGTCTGGGGAGAGCAGGGCTGTTTCCCGTCGCTTCACAGAGAGCCCCCCGGTGTCCCGCAGTGTGGCTGACCGTGGCTGCACAACTCACCGAGGCGAAGATGCAGAGTGGAAATCTGACTGCGGGCCCCGCTGTCCTTGACAACAGCCCAGGGTACGAGAAGCCCCGTGGGGCAGCCAAAGCCCTTGGGCGCCCCCCAGTGACAAGTGTCTCACGACTGGGGATGTCTTGGTTTCCAGGGGAGATAGGTGATTTCTGGGTTGTCAGGGCCGAATCTAGATGCGCTAACCCTGACCTTTCTGTGACTAGGGCTACAACAGGCAGTATTCAGGGTCCGCTGAACAACAATGACTGGGGAGGGCTGCGGCAGAGCTGACGGACCGACGTGATGACTTCTGTGACATGGTAATGGTAATGGTTTCAGTTCCTGATGCGTAGACTGTCCTAGGCCCAGCTGAAGGCTTTATAAATGCCTATATAACAATCAGTGACCAATGGCCTGGGACAGCTGCAAAGCATCCATTTAGGTCAGGCTGGGAACTACAAATACCTAACGAGACATCGTGATTCACCAGTGGGTCCTCCATCCATTCATCCCTCCATCACCGCCTACTAGGGGGTTCGTATTGGAAGTTGAATAAGATGCAGTGCCTGCTATTGAAGAGCCCTCTGTCTGACGGTCTGGAATAGTGGTTCTCATGAAGGTCAAAACAGGCTTCCGGTGGGACTGATGGGTGGCCTCCGGCTGTACTGTTTCAGAACAGCTGGTCCAGTGGGGCGCTTGGAACCTTGGGAGACTTTGTCTTTAAGTCTTCACAGGGATGCCTCAAGACTTATAAAAAGACTTATAAGTCAGCTTTGGACTCTGACAAAAATAATTCTGTGGGTATCATGTGAAAGTTGAGAATACCTGGAGGTACATAAGTAAGCGGATACGTTCTGTCTTTAGTGTCTGGAAAAAAATTACAGGGATTAGACGGTAAGATTACTTCAAACTGGACTCTCTCTGACTGTTTATTTGAGCCTGTCTGAGTCTCAACCTTTGCACCCATCCTCTGCCAACAGCCAGAGCTGCTTGGTCTCGATCTGCAAGCTTGGCTCGAGGTCTAGCCCTGATGCTGGGGAGAGAGAACTTGAAACCCTGTAGCTCCATACCCTGGGCAGCACCGGTCCCTTCTTTGCTACTCTGGTTCTGATTGAGAGCCCTCACCCTAGAAATGGAGGATCTGCCGTGTTCTAGGAGGTGACCCTGAGGCCAGCCAGGATGGTACCACACTGGAAACACCTGCCTCAAGGAGAAGTACTTCATGTTCTAGAAGTAGAGTCATCCCTAGATCAGGCCCCACCCAAACTATGTAAGGGATCTCTAGTCCCATCGTCTGGCTTCTTCATGCATGAGACAAATTTTCATCCCTGGATCGGAAGTCTAGGACTTTAGGTACCAAAGGACATGGACTTCTTGCCCTGGCCTAACTGACCCAGGTCTGGACCGGAAGGAAGGCAGGGTCAGTGCGGCATTTCTTTTAGTGTCTGCCTTGTGTGACCATGAACTTACTCAAAGTCCAGTGTTCAAATGCCTTTGAGCTTAGCTGGCTGAGTCTTTGGCAAACATTCAAGAATTTGTCCTCCACTTACCCTGAAAGGAATGGCAGGTTTGAATTCCCAGGTCTGCCTGGGAGCATATACATCAGGGTTGAGTTGGGCACATAACCTTCGAGCAACGAAGCTAATAAGCAAATCTGGGAAAGAATCTCTTTCACCGCCTTCTACTCTGACAACGTATTTGACCAGAAACTTGAACTTTTTGCCAGAAAGACAAATCCACAAATTATCCAGTGGATTTCTATTTGTACATTCAGAGTTAATTTTAATATATGAAGCCAAAAACTCAACTGTACATCGTGAACGCTTTGCAAAAATGTGGTATCCTACATCATGAGGTCTCTGTGCTCTGTTCTTGTAACTGACTCTTCTCCTGATCCATGCAGAGAGAGCAGTGACAGATGCTCAAACACAAAACGACAGAGTGCTTGCTGAATGAACTGACAGGAGGCAGGAGCGCCAGGGGCCCTGGAGCCGCCCTGGCCTTCTGATAACGTGGTAGGGCTCACCGGCCGGTCTGCAGGACGCCTTTCACATCTACTGACATTTACTCACAGCATCACCCCCAGCAGATCCAACCTCCCTGTACCCCGGTTCCTCTGCAGGTGCCCGCCCAGCTCCACGGAGTTTGGGTAAAAGACACCAGGGAAGCTGCCTTCTGCCGCAGCCTGTTCGGAGAAACTTCACTAGGTTTTAAAAACGTCATGCGCTGAATCATTAGGAGAATAAACCATTATCCCATTATCCACTTACTGGGTCCCGAGTCTCCGGTGATTGCTTATTGAAAAGGCATCAATAGTGAGGGCGTTCAAAATTATTGCTGGATACAAGATATATTTTTCAAAACACTGAAGCCAAACGTAGAGTCTTTCGAACCACATTAAATGGGCGGCATCTGAAAGAAACACAAAAACCACTTAGAACAGCCCCTGATCAAATTATGTGTCTTTAAGTACATGTGATAATAAGCAGTATCTCCCTTTACGTCAAGAGCTGCGGGCTCAGAACTCCGGACGCTGAGCACGGCACACCGACGCTCTTTCCGGGCAGCGACTCTCTGCTGTGTTTCTACACAGTTCAAAAACAATAACACACAGAAATATAGGCCAGCACCCCAACTTCTCAAGTCAGTTGATTTTCCCATATATAATTATTACTGGGACCAAGGAAATAACATCCACATAACATCAAGGCGTCTCAGAGCAGTTAAGGGTAGAAAGTGAAAGACGAAGAATTGGGGGGAAAAAAAAACATGAGCCCATTTTCTCTTTAGCTTGGGGTCACTTGGGAGGCTGGGGATAGTTTCTGGGCTCGCCTCCCCCTCGCCTTAGTCTTTACATCCGCAATCAAGTTTCTGGGTAACATATGCAAGTAAGAGAAAGCTGATCGCCAGGCCCTGATCACTTTGAATGTGTGATGTGCCAACAAGGATGCACCAGGGAGAGTGAGGTCTGTGTAGCCAGGGCTAAGCTTTGAAGTCAGACCAACCAGGGTTTGCATTCAGGCTCTACCCAGCACTTGGGAGTGGTCGTGCACAATTATCTGCACCATTCTGGGCCTCGCTTTTGTATGTCCCACCCATCCTCTGGGTTCTGTCTCTTTCTACCACTTACAGCAGAGGAGACATGCGCTCTTCTCTTCGGGAAGGGTCATGTGCGATGCACACTTGCAGTGACTCCCATCTCTTAGGACTTTCCCCTCTGGGAGCAGCAGGGACTGGTCCCACTGGTCAGAGCACACACTTCCGGAAGCCATAGTACCGGGCGGGAAAATACTTCATCCCCGCCAAAGGAGTCCAGGGAGGGGCCAGAGCCCTCCGCTGCTGCCTGCCTCGCGAGGATGGCACACCAGCCAGGTTCAGCTCGGGGGTCCTCCAGTGTGCCCCCTCATTCCCCCCCAGATTTGTCTGTCTGCTGGGAACCATGAGGCTGAGTGGGCCCTGCCCCACCATCAGGGGGCTACGGACGGGATCCTCTCCACAGCGGGTCTCGAAGTCTCAATCTGCAAATTTGATGACAGCAACTTCACCAAACTACTGGAATCACATTCTTCAACATTTTATAATAAAATTTACACCTCAATCGTCTATAGTAACAAACAAAAAACAAAACAAGAGCGCTATAAAGGATGCTGGGTAGGATTCAACTTAGGGTATCCTATGGTTCATGTGTAATGTTTCCTGGTGTAGATTTGGAAATCAGTTATTTCACAAGAAATGAAGTTTTTGATATGTAACTAATGAAATGTAGGTATATTATATATTTTACATATAAATAAAAGGTTTTATTTTTTATGAAAGTGCATGAAAATAAACAAAGTCTTCAAGATCCTCCCCATTTCCTCAAAGCAAATGACTTTGATGCCAACTTCCAAGAAAAAACTGAGGTTATTGGCCAGGAATCCCCACACCCGCCTGCACCCTTAACCCCACATGTGTCTTTATTCACGTCCACCTTCATGCTCCTCCTGAGGTCGAGCCCCCTGGACGGGCCCCTTTCTCCCTGACGTCTGGTTCAGTAGTCACTCCCCCAAGTCACCAGTAGCTCTTTCCTAATGGCAGGTGACGAGGTTCCAGTCTTGGCCGAGCTGAAATCGCGCCACCCCTCCGCCCCGCATCACCGCCTAGCACTCACTGGTTTTGCACGGCCGAGCTTCTTGAAGAGACGCTCCTGTCTCCTTCTTGCTGCTGCCACGCCTGCCCCAGGTGTTGGTGGCTGTGCGTGGCCAGCCACTTGCTGCCTCCTCACAGCAAATAACTGCTACTCTCAGCCTATCCCACTGGACCCTCCTGAGGCATGAACCATCGCAGACACTTCCTTCTTTTTAAACTCTGCCCCATCCCTCAGGCTCCTGCTCACGCTCAAACCACTCACATGATCCTCCCACATCCTCTGCAGGCTCCTCAGTCCCTGCCCCTGTTCATCTGCTCCCTTGGACTCTTTGTCATTTTTCTCATTTTCCTAGGCTGATGTTCCCACACGCATGACTTTCATTATTACTTCTGATGACACCCTGAGCACCTGAATTAAGAAACACCTTCAAAGACCCCCCCCATCCACCCCCCCGATATCTGCTTACGGTCACTGCCTTCAGGTAACACAGCCCAAGCCCTGAACACCAGAGCCTAGCTGTGTCTACTATTCTTTTGTGCCCTTTGCTCAAATGTCTTGAGGTTCATTCACATTTTGCATCTGCATGCAAAATGTCATTTTTCATTGTCTCAGATGCACAGTTATCTGTCTGAGATGCACAGTTGTCTGCCATGTGAATTCACACAGTTCACTTTCTAGTCTGCTGTTCGTGGGCCCTTGTTAACCTCCAGTGTGCGTCTGGGATGGAGTGCTCTATGGGCATCCTGTACCTGTCCTTCAGCGAACGTGCACATTCCACGGGACACACAGCCAGGTGTGGAATTGCTAGGTTATTACTGAGCATGTGGGAAGCTCCGGGAGACGCCACCCAACAATTCCCAGAGTCATTGTGCCAATTGACCCGCCCACAAACGGTGCGTGCACGCCTTGTTTGTCCCACGTCCTTGCTGAAACATTTCCTCTGTCCTTCTTCCTACTTCCACTGGTGGGTGCAGAGTGGTATCATATCGTGGCTGTGTTTGCATTTGCCTGATGACTAAGACAGGAGAGCGCCTTTTCACATGTTTACTGCCCACGTGGATAACACTTCCGTGAAGTGATTCTGCATGTCTATTGCTTGGTTCTCCTTCCTATTGGATCACGTGTCTTATCCTTTGATTTTTAGGGGTTCTTTATACATCTAGGCCTGAGTCTTTCATCCCATATATGTATCAGGAAAACCTCCCGTTTTATGGGTTGTTTTTCACTCACTTCATAGTATCTTTTGTAGAAAAGAAACATTTGATTTAACGTGCTCCAGCTCCTCAGTCTTTTCCTTTTAGAGTCTTTGCTGTTCTGCTTCAAAGACCAGGTGCATGACCATATTCTCCCGCTTCCTCTGAGACGTCTATTGCTTTCTTTTTCGGCTTTAGGTCTGCGAGTTCTCTAGAACTGATGAGTGTGTGTAACGTATGGGGTTGAGACTGATCGTCTTCCACGTGTATGTCTAATTGACCATCACCATTTACGGAAAATAACTTCTATAGGCCCCTGCACCGCAGTGGCCCGTGCTGTTTCACATCCTTTATCTGTGCAGGAAGCCTTCCTGGAATGTCCTCCCACATATCCCATTTGAGAAACTCATCTTATTACAGAACCGGGCGTCCTGCCATCTGAAAGCTTCCCTGCCCCCCGAGACCCCTCGCTGCCCCCAGTACAGGCACTTCCAGTGAGCCAGGGGCAGGGCGTGGGGGCGTCTGTCCCAGCCAGGGCCATCCCGCACTGACAGTGTTTGGAAACGTCAGCATGTGATGATAGTAAAAAGGAATTCCATTTTTAATCGGCTTTATTGTTGTTCCTAATTAGAAATAATACCTACCCGCCCCCCACCCCCCCGCCTGCTCCGGGTAGACACCCCTCCTATTTCCCAGCCTTCAGTGCTCCGCTTCCCGGCCACGTGCCCAGTATTAGGCATCTGCCAGACAACGAGCCAAGCTTTCTGTATATATTACCTTTAGTTTTACGGCTAAATATTTTATTCTTTAGTGTCGTCACGGAACACGGTGAATTCTGAAATTCTAGTGCCGTCACATCATAGAACAAGTATTCATTTTAATGTTAATCTTTCCGCTAGATTGTAAGTTTGTCAAGAGTAGCTGTTTTGTCTTAAATGGTTTAATATTTCAAGTACCTAGGAGAATGCCTCCTGGCCAAGAGTGAGGGTTGAGTAAATGTTCGTTTATTATTTTATCATTTTCAGTGGTTGGGGAACTCGGAAGAATTAAAATGAATAAAGAAACTAAAATGCAGCCTAAATAGAATTATTATTTTTATTACAAAACAAAAATCATTCTAACTAAAACATATTAAACATTTCCTGTTTCAGTCTCTCATAAAGTACAACCCGTTAGAGCCAGCTTTCCTTCTATATGAAATCACTTTTTCTGATTTCTCAATTTATAAGCGATCAACGGTGTCAGATTGAGGCCATCACATCGAATGCAATTCAGCCAGCCTCTCAAAGCACATTTACAGAGTCCTGTCTACATTTGTCACCAATTCAGAGAACCATGACAACCTTAGCTAGAGTCCTGCAAAAATATGTAAATTAAGAGGAGAAGCCAACCTCATCCTGCAGTGTTGGTAGAAAAACACCTGAATTAGAAGACACATTTGAGTGGCTCATTGCCACAGAGGACCCAGGTACCCTGCGAGGGGAGGGGCCACATGATCAGACTTTCAAACACTTGTCACGTGTACTTTTAGAAGAAGACATTTTCCAGTGAGTGGGCACAAGGCTGAGTCAAGCGCAGGGACACAATCCCATTTCAGTCTACAGGGATTTACTGTGGATAATGATAACAAATATGGGTTTGCCGTAAGAATCTCAGTTCACCCATCCTACGAACGCATAGAGCAATGAATTTCAAATAACATGAAATCACTAATAAACTGAATTCGCCATCCATGTCTTTCTAAATATTTGACAGCGAAAGTACTTATTCAGCGAGACTTCAGCTGTGTGCTGGTGTGCATGTGTGTGTGCGTGTATGAGGAACTAACAGGTACAACTTGGAGGCACATGGCTAAGACACTCAGGCTATACGAAGTCCTGGGCTGTGAGCGCCATTCTGCAGCCTGACCTCAGAGCAGCGAGTCACAGGAACTGCTGTGTTCAATACGGGCATGACCCCTTTTGTGAACAATTAAGACCCAGGATTTTTAGGTAACAACCAGGTCTCCTATTAGACGTAATCAAGACGATAGCTACAAAGGAGGTCTCTGTTGGACGTTTGAAGGATAAAAAGAACTTGTAGAGAACTAG